AACCCAAAAAAAAAAAAAAAAATGCAAAGGTGAAAGGTGGAAAATAGGGGGAAGGGGCGAGTACAGGTGGTCAGGATGGCTGGGGTGGGAGGGAGTGCGAGCACAGTAGGCAGGAGCAGATGGCATGGAGGGGTGAGGTGTGGAGCGTGGAACTGAGAAGTAAAGTCTCTGGGAAGTGCTCAGGTCTCACCTGAGGCCAGGGGCAGGCTTCTGTTTTAAAGTATTATATACTCCTGAAGAAGAGATTGAAGTTAGTTTAGACTCTCTTGACCTAAAGGCCATTCTGGTTTTTGTATTTGCAGTGATGACCATGTACATTAAAATGTGTGATACATTTCTTGCCAAGTTTAAGTTTTTTAAACTATCGAAATGATGGTTGTTTTTTTTCTTCCTGAAAGATTCGGTTTATGCTAGAGACAATGTTGGCACTGAAGAACAATGACATGCGTAAAATTCCAGGCTATGACCCTGAGCCCGTGGAGAAACTGAGGAAATTGCAAAGAGCTTTGGTAGGTAACTTTCAGTTCTGATTTGTTCTGAGCTTCTGTGTCACCACGAGCCCATCATGAAAATCAAGAAGTAGTCAGGCCTGCAAGTCAGTCACCATGTGTGTTAAATGAGTTTTAAAGATGTGGAATGGAAGCTGCTTGAATTTCACATGCTGAGGTTTCCAGTGGTTTGGGCATGCTCATGCAGAATGTCCATGCTCAGGAAAGCTCATGTTTGTTGAGCATCCCCTGTGCTTTAACCCCGGGTGTTAAACCTGGGATGCACAAGAGCATCATCTGATGAGAAGGCCAGGACCAAGGAAATTGGGGTGGTATGAAGAGCAGAGGGGAGTGGTACTCCCATATTTTAAGTTCCTTGGCTGCTCCTAGAGTGCAACTGAGGCAGTCCCCACGACCTCCCAGTTGGGGTGACTCTGGCAAAGCTCAGGCTCCTCCCGGTCATGAGCTCACCTGCCATTGAGTCTGAGGCAGCTCAGTCTCTCCCCGTCATGACAGCTCTCCAAAGACAACATTTAGGGTAATAGACCCACAACCTCAGATGCAAAATACTGGGAGTCCACTGCTAGTTTTGGCATTATTCCAAACAGGTGAATCATCCCAGTTGCTAACAAATCGTCACAGTATTCATGCCCCAGAAATGCCATGATCAAAAAAATGAAAAATCTGAGTGTGATGAAAGCACAGAATATCAACCAATTCAAAGCATTTCACTGAATCTTCTCTTTTAATCAGGTCCGTAACACCAGCTCAGGTTCTGAAACTCAGCTCCGTGTCTCCTGGGATAGCATCTTGAATGCTGAGAAGACAGGTCGCTGGTGGATTGTGGGGTCCGCCTGGAGCGGAGCCCCAATGATTGACGACAGTCATCACACAAACCTGCAGAAGCAGCTTGCAGGAACGGTATGGAGACCCTTGCTCAAGGCTGCCAGATCCCCCACCACCATCTTGCCCTGCCTGCCCTCAGTGTCTGGTCAGAGCTTTCCCTAGAGTGGCTCCCTTTATATGTGGTTATTAAAATGTACAATGTAGGATTATTGAAGGCCTTATAGAAATTGCTGTTACGTTGTGCCATTTCTGTTTAAAGGATTTCTAAAAGTCCCAAAATACATAGCACCAAAGGTCTAAAAGTTGATCAGAATTTGGAAAACACACGAAAATCAAAACACTCATTTACAGGTACCCATTCCTGAGACTTGAGGCTTCTCTCTTCCAGGAGCTGGGGTTCCAGCCTACTGACAGTGGAGCTCACGTGGTGGAAGTTCTTTGCACTTCTTTGTATTTGTTATTATGTAAAATCCACACTTTAGCCATATTTTCTTCATTTTTCTCTAATGTCCTTCCCTGTCCCAGGATCCCATGTTGCTCTTGGTGGTCATGGCTCCCCAGGCTCTGGCAGTGACCACTTATCTGTATTTAATTTCATTGTTGCTTACACTGAGGTCATGCCACCACTGATAAGTCTGCCAAGTCAAATGGTCTCCACTAGCTTGCTTTGTCTGTTTTTCCTTTGCAAGGGGATTGCCCAAGAGTGAAGATTTAGCACTTACTTTCATATTCATATATAATTTACACTTATATCTAGGTAAAACTAAAATAGGGCATAGTATTTCTCAGGAAACAACTTTCATGAAAACACTGTATGCTCTATGCATTAATCATTCCTCCTTTCAGGTTAGCTCAAAGATGCTGGAACTTGCCCGTAAGCAGAGGATGAACACCGACATCAGGAGAAATATATTCTGTACCATAATGACAAGTGAAGATTTTTTGGATGCATTTGATAAGCTTCTAAAGTAAGCGTTTGTGTGAACATTTCAAACAAGTGTTCAATTAGATGTTGCAAAAAGAAATAAGTTGATTGGATTTTGGAGTGTTGGGTGATAGAGTTCAATAACTGTGGGCTTTTCTTGTTACTGTCCTCTCAGCTTGTCTGGATCTGTGCATCCTGGGCTAGTGATCTTGTTCCTACTAATTTGCCACTTACAGTAACTCTTCATTCGAACATTTTAGGTTGTGGTCGGGCTTGGTGGCTCAGCCTATAATCCCAGGATTTAGGAGGCTGAGGCGGGTGGATTGTCTGAGCCCGCAGGTTCGAGACCAGCCTCGGCAACTCGGCGAGGCCTCATCTCTACAATAAACCAAAAATTAGCCAGGCATGGTAGCACACACCTGTAGTCCCAATTACTTGGAAGGCTAAGGCAGAAGGATCGCTGGAGCCCAGCAGGTCGATGCTGGGATAGCTGTGAGCGTGCCACTGCACTCCAGCCTGGG